GTATAACTTCTTGTAGGGAATCTCTTTTGTCTTTCCCGTTTTTTCATCTTTGTCTAGCTGAATTTCGTGATCGATTCCTGGTCTTCGAGGTGGTAGCTTCATAGCTTCCTCTTCTTGGAATAGATTCGTGAATTGGTGATATTCTTTTGGAATCAATTCTTTCCATCCCTTTTTGCTTTGGTATTTCTTGTCCTAGATTGCTAGCTCTGTGCTGATGTTGATTTTTGCTAGAACTGCTTTTTCGTCTTTGTATGTCCATTTGAGAATTCCTGTTGTATCTCCTCTTTGATAGTACCGTCCAAAGGCTTGTGCTGTGATCTCTTTGATCTCAATTCTTTTTGTTATATTGAGCTAGTTTTAGTCCGTACTTCCAAATCCCTTGCTTTCTCTTGTGGTTTCTTCCAGTTGATCTACTTCATGCAGATCTTCTTTGTTGATTTTTTCGATTATCAACTGTGCCATTTCTATCACCTTTCTGGACTTAGTAGTCCTCTTGAGCTAGGTTGGCCAAGACCACTTTGATTTCACCTGTATAGTCGACGTCGATCACCCCTGCCATGGTCATGAGCCGATGTTTGACAGCTAGACTACTGCGGGGTGCTATTCGTCCATAGGTGCTTTCTGGAAGTCCAATGGCTATTCCCGTCGCTATCGTTGCCTGCCCGTTGGCAGGTATCTCGATTCCTTCGTTGGTATATAGGTCATGTCCTGCTGCCCCTTTGGAACCCTTAGTAGGCACTCTTGCCTCTTGGTCCAGCCTTTGTATCTGGACTCTCTTATCTTGCCGCATCTCGGCGAACTTTGCATGCAAAGTTTCTTCTTCCGCTTCTCGTATCAGTGTTGAGTAAACCACAGTTGAACTGTTGAGACATCGTGTCGCACATAGTTCGCTTGTAAAGGTTATCTTGTTCTCGTTCCAATTGATCGTCGGATTCTGCTTTCGTAACCATGGCATCCTTAGGACTATCTCATGATTTTTTAGATCTACTACTTGAAAGGTTGCCGTTTCCCTATGGCTGTCAATGTCCATAGGTACTGTCGCTGTATGGGTTATAGGACCCATAGTGCTTGGCTTTCCATCCGCTAAGTAGACCTGTCTCGCTTTCTTCGCTTGTTTAGTGTGGAGGCCGTATTTGTCGCATATTTCTTTGTCAATGAAGTCATCGGTGGTCCCAGAGTCGAGCATTGCATATATTGTTGTTTCTTTATTTTCTTCATCGTATATTTTCGTTTTGATCATCATATGATCTCCATCTTCTTCTCCTCTTTGCGTGTGTAGTGCTGTGTAGTAGTTCACTACCTTGATGGGTTTTTCAGGTCCACATCTTGGGTCTCCCAGACTACCGTTTACTGGGGACCCTCATCATTTTCCGCTGGTGAATCCTCTGCTATCATTTCGCAAATGTTCCTCCTTTTTTGATTTTGGAAACGATTATTTCCAGCAGCTCTGTTTCCTTGGTATCTGTTGTCGGGTCTGCTTCTGCATTCTCGTATTCGATGTCCTATTTTTCCGCACCTCAGGCAGAGCTTCCCGTTTATTCTTCTGGCGTATTCTTCCTTAGACAGGTTCAGAGCAGGTCCTGCTCTTGATTTGTCTAACTCCATTGGCTCGCCTGGTGGTAATGCTCGACTTTCTCCTCGAGTTGCTTGTGGTTTGAAGGTCCCGTCCACATTCCTGGATGATTGGACCACCCTGTGAACTATAGTGTTCTCTGAGTTACTTCGAACCATATTTAATTTGCTTTCTTCGTCGATTGCCCATCTTGCAAATCGTTCAGCTGTCGTATAGTACAGGTTAGAGATTCCCCATACTTCTCAGAGCCTCTCGCTGCAGTTTCTCGGGAGGATGACGTAGAGAGTAGCATCATCAAACTCGGCCTCGTATTCCAATAGTCGGCATTCATTCCAGTATGCCGAGAATGTTTGTTTTCCTTGATGGAGTTTTTCTAGCTTTTGTCTTGCTGTTTCTTTGGTGTTGGGATCTCCGAATTGTTCGAAGAGTATCGCCTTGAACTCTTCGTATGTGACCCATTCCCTCTGCTTCCTTCCATCTTGGAAAGGCATGATCCATTGTCCTGCAAGTCCCCTGAGTAGAGATTCCACGTATGGAATCTTGATCTCGTCATAGTGATCTCCATATCCCTTGACGTAAAATATCCTTCAGATTGCGCTAAGAATATTCATAGCTTGTCTTCAGCTTCTTCGTATGTGTCGGGCTCCTTTATTTTCGGTCTTTGGACATTTCCTTGCCTTGTATTTCATGTAGCTGTGAGAAATGCCTGAAATTAATTTTCAGTTATTCCAAGTATGCTGGTTCCTGGTGCTGGAGCAGCTGGGGCCGGTGGCCCAGGTATTGCGGATCCCGACATTCTCTCGGGTCGTGGAGTTCCTGACGGAGAGCTATCAACTAGTGATCCTTTCTCTAGGGTTACTGGGCTTGCTGCTCTCGAGGGTTCTGCTGAGACGTGATCTAAGGCGTCGCTGAATCCTGCTAGGTTAAGGTTTTGATCGTCGATGTCGATATCTTCTTCCCTGTCTGGATTGAAGGATGCCGTCTTGTATCGTTTGGCGTCACACTTAGGTGACGCTTTGTAATGTAACTATCTCTCTCTGGATAGTTAGTTCTTGGCGACGGGGAACGATACTTCTCTTTCTGTCTTCTTCTTTCTTTATCTTACAATAGCTCTAGGCCTCTGCCTACGTTACCGCTAGTACAAGACCTTTGTCTTCTATCGGGAACGTCTATCATAAGCTTTCTCTAACTCTTCTTCATGAAGGACTTTTCTTGGCGTAATAATAACGGTGCAATAAAGATAAAGATCGTAAAGGTATTTTATATTCATTAAAGTAATAAGTAGGAAAAGTACTTAGAACAAAACTTGAAGAACCTATCTTCCTCGGCCGCCTCGACCTCCTTATATAGTGTTCTTCCTGCTCCTAGTCATGTGACCTAAAGTGGTCACATGCACGAAACCAAATCATAACAAACTAATCATGTGACTAAAGTGATCACATGCTCCAAACCCATGACCTTGTAACGAGGTTATGTGCAAAAACTCATAAACCAATCATAACACAATAAACAAGTCATATGACTCGACTGAGTCATATGCGCAAAACCCATGACCTCATAACGAGGTCATGTGCAAAACATAAATCATATGCGCAAGGCTTACCTGCAAGGCACACTTGCAAGGCATATTTGCCAGGCGCACATCCCATGACTCATACTTGAGCTATGTGCGAAAGCATCACAAATCCCACACATAACAAATCATATAACCCGAATGGGTCATATGCGTAAAACAATAACATACCTGTGACTCATAACCATGTGTCACATGAAAACCTTTTCCATGCCAAGCCACATTCCTGACACCAGGCAGGCCTCCACCAATAGCACTGTTATATTGGTAGCATAGAAAGCATTCGTAATCCAACGGAGGACACGATTCCAAAAGGTTTGCATCTTCTCCATCATTGTCTTTGAGGGTGTCAGCACCTCCGCCCCATACAGGAGCGTAGGCAACAGAATTCCTTTTGCCAGCCTTCGGGCCCCATAGGGAGACAACCCTATGCCCGGTCCCCACAGTCTCTGTATTCTCCAAAAGGCTCCCTGGGTTAGGGACAACCTCTTGGTAAAGTGCGTGCTTGTTTCCCCATTGTCCGTCAGCCAAAAACCCAGCCACCGCAAGGTTCCATTGGCCGGCTCAACTCGATGGGAATCTATCATAACCACCGCCGTAGATCCGGGACCTTTCTCCCTCGGGTTTTCACCCTGGGATTGATATCGTACTTGTATCCGGCATTAGTTCGAGGTGCCGATGCGCCATTGATGTCCTTCTGCCTCCATTCCACCAATTTTGAATGGGTCCAATGTGCCGGTGTGTCCTGGTCTCCGGTCCCGAATTTTGGGATTTAAGCATTACCCTCTCAGCGGTTTTCACCAATCTACGCGGGTAGACTACACTTCTTGGGGCCCACGTACTCGAGTACCGTGTTTATGGTGGGATTACCGGCTCGATCGAATACATCTCGGTGCCGTAGCGAAATTACTCTATTGTGCTCGAGCATAATACCGGTAAAGTTACATACTAGCAGTGGGAAGAGGGTGGAGGGGATCATCTAGGGAAGCGAGGGACAATGGAGTGGAGTTCGGGGAATGGGAGGAGGGTGGCTACTTGGCAACCGGGGCAGAATCCCGAGAAATGCGAGGGAGACCCTCTTTCACCTCTAACTTACGAGTACCGGTACTCGTACAGTATGATATGATACTATGTCTTGAGGGTGTTCAGATTCAACTTTTTGCGAGGAAGTGATTGAGCCATAGAAATAGCAGACAGGTCCGGAGCGGGTCTACTGTACAGTACTCGTATAGTACTCTAGATTGCCCGCAAACTCCACCCCTCCTACGCTATTCTCGAGCACAGGGAATAAAAACAATAAAAAATTTAATAAAGGATTTACACTAATGAAGGAAAGCCTGAATTCAGCAAAGAGAATTCCCTATATTACAGGTATTAGTCCTCTGAGTATGTTACAGTATTATTATTATCGAATACTATTACTGTATGATATTATTATCCTCAGTTCTGCCTTCGTGTGAAAAATCAAACTTGCAGTCGTCTTGTCCCCTGCCCAGCTTAGATATGTAGAGAGCTTCGCCAAAACGCCCATCATGCTGTATGCTTCACTTCTCCGTGGGCGATACCGCTGTCTGCAACACCAATCCCCTTTCCTCCTCTCGCTCAGCAGCTCAGTCTTTCAACTCTCGCGAAAAGAGAAGAAAGAAAAACAGAAAAAAAAAAAAAAAAGAGAAAGGCAGGAGTCACGCCCATATACAGCGCGCTTCGCCAAATCACATGCCCCGCTTGCAAACAACCAGCCGCGCATCGCCCCTCGTCCTTGTTTCCGAAAGCCGGGCTGAGATCTGCCATCACCTCCTGGCTAGCATTTCCTGTCCTCATATCTCCTCCGCATCCAGATCGCTGTTTTCGCTCACCCGCTATCCACATTCATCGGCAATCTTACCCATCCACCCACCCCTCAACCCCCATCCTCACCGTTTTTCACCCTGGACTATCCATCCGACCGCGTCTCCCTTGTTCGTCTCCAGCGCTTCTACTCAACCTTAGTCCACGCTTACTCTTCACCAGGGACGAATCCGCTCCGTCCCCCGAATCATCCCCACAGCGTCTCCCTGCTACCTCCGAATAATAAAAACTTCAATACTACGGGAGCGATGAAGCCACCGCAGGCCTTAACCACCACCTATGCCACGCGCATAGCCACATTTTCCACAGCCCTGATAACACCCGCCGGCCTTAATCCGACTTCCGGTGCTCCTGGTGCTACACCTGTCGGTGAGCGCACATCTGGGAGGACAAAGCGCGGAACCACTGTCATTAACTATGCCGAGGTGGACGGTGACGATGATTTGGAGGTTGATGGTGAGAGCAATGCGGGCCAGCGGGGGTCTAATGCCCTGATTGTCGGCGCTGGGCCTCCGCAGAATGGGCTTGGAACTAATAGTATGGGAAATGTCGTCGAAGCAATCAAACGGCCAGTACAAATTCCGGGCCGACCCGCACAGCCCAGATCAAGCCAAGGCCTATATAGGTACATCCAGAGTCGTTCCCCGACACCCTTCACCTATGCTAACCGTTGCTTCTTTTTTTTTATTACCTTTCTCCCCAAAGGACAGAGCATCAACTACTGGCTGCCTCCAATTTACCGTCGGTGCTAGTTCCAATTCGTTTGGACTTTGACCTCGATCCTCCCTCTCGTGGCCGAATCCACGACAGCTTCCTTTGGAATCTCAACGAGACATTGATCACTCCAGACAATTTCGCCATCACGACATGTGTAGATCTTGACCTGCCGTTACAACCATATGCGTCAATGATTTCTGCTGCCATCCGCGATCAGATATCGGAATATGCACCTGTAGCAACGATTCCCATATCTGAAGAATCTGGAGAAATGCGAGTAGTTTGCAACCTCAACGTGAACCTGGGGGAGCGCGTCTACACCGATAAATTCGAATGGGATTTAACGGGCGGCCTTTCGCCGGAATACTTTGCGAAATCCGTTGCCGCAGACCTTGGGCTTACGGGTGAATTTATTCCGGCGATTGCGCACGCAATCTACGAATTCTGCCTGCAAAAGAAGAAGGATCTCTGTGAGACCGGCATCACTCCCGAACTAGAGAACGACGCACATCGGCCGGAAACAGAAGCTGGCTGGCGCGTGGACCTGGAGTCCTTGGGTGCTGAATGGGAATCTAGGGTTGAAACGCTTACCCGCGAGGAGATCGACAAACGGGAGGGAGACCGCGAGAGGGAAATTCGTAGGTTGCGCCGTGATACAGCACGACTGGGGGGGACGCCAGGCGGTGTCATAATGCCTTCACATTGGGGACCCGGCGCATCGAATGATGTGGGCGGAGAAGAGCAAATGGGCCGTGGGAGTCGAGTGAAGCGCAAACGTCAACGCAGCTTCTCCCCGCCTGCCCGTGGAACCCCGACCCGTACTCCTTCGCATCAGCAGGGGAACGGTATCAATGGGTCGGGCGGCATTCTCAACGGAGGTCTCACGGAATGGGAGAAACAGAATTGGAGATGCAGCTGGTGTTTTATCACCGGGACTGGGACTTGGGGCGTTAGGGAGGGTCCTGACGGTCCAAAGGTATATACATATATCCTACCCTCGATTTCAAGAGCTGTGCTAAGTTTCTCCGTAGACATTATGCCACAATTGTGGCCAAGCGTGGATGGAAACTGGAGTGTTACCAGAATGGGCCAAGGGGCTACACATGCGTCAATAATTGCTTCCTATATTCCTCGATTGCAAATATCTTCTCTTGTGCTAATACCGGTAGAGTCCACGTATCCCTGGAGTTTATTTTTATTTTTATTATTATTGTTGTAAACTAGGTTTTTTTTCCTTTCTTTCTCTCCCTTCCCCTTTCTTTATTTTCTCTCTCTTTGTTCCCTTTGGGGCAATTGAGTTTGTTGGATTAGATGAGCTTTTTCCTATTATGGGGTGACCCACGGCGAGGTATCGTACAACGGGGGTTTGTTAATAGGGTGGTATTGACCCTATTTTTTGTACGAAAAGGTTATTTTTCCCTCCCTCCCCCTCCCTCCCTTTTATTTTAAGGTTCTGTTCAGCACGCACTAAATACTATGGTATTTTCACTTTTATGGCCTATCTTTCATGGTATTTTATAATTAATTGGGGGGCGTGTTCGACATGCCATAAATCCCTTCGTTCGTACGCCGAATTTCACGGAATTTTGGCTCGATGCTCGAGGCATACCTAGGTTGAAGGGGTATGGATGGGGTCTTCTGACGATGAACCGGCTAATAAACGTCTCTGATCTTAGGGATCTGCGAGGCATTTGCTTGGATAGGAGGCATCTGGGAAGAAGGCGGTCTCGACCACAGTCCCGTCAATATGAGCCAAGGGACTGTACGAGTACAGTGCTCGAGTATTAGTATTTTTTTATTTATGTTTTACTCCAGTATTATTATTCTTTGCAATGTCATGGCGGTTTAAGGTAAAAAACAAAATTATACTTATCATACTGAGTCGGTATTTGGCTCGCTGCAATTTTATTTTGAAATCACGATTCGTAAGTTGAGTTTTCGGACCAATCAATCACAACGAATGAACCTTGCCCTCACAATCCCCTTTTTTTGCGTTGTGATTGATCGATTCTAAATCTTGATTTGAATCTAAACATCCTCTGATACCGCATTCACTGGCGATACTGGAGATGGCGCTAACATATAAGATGAGCATATGGCGGAACTTTGAGTGGGCGGCAAAATAAGTGAATATAAAATACATACCGAGTGATCCTCCATGTTGGGAGTGCTCTATAGTTTTTTTTTTTTTTCTTAATTAGACTACATATGTGTATGATCAATGGTTTACGGTACTCCCTGTCTACAAATTCAATAGCCAGGTTCTCGGTTTTCCTATCCATCGGAAACCTGGTCTCCTGCCTTGCCAAAATTTGCTCGTCATGCTTCAATCACCTATCTCAAGAAGTGATAAGTCAATCCTATAATATTATATACTAATAGTTCCTCATCAGATGATCCATCGATAGTGTTAGCCACACTGGAAACCAGAAGCATACAGATACTCATTTACTCTATGTCAAGAAAGATGCTTTCAATATACTTTTCCTCTATATTGCAACTCCTACATGTCTTCTGCTATATTTTGGTCATTTGTATCTTGACATGAAAATATAAAAAATTGTCTGCTTCTTCATAATATTGTATACTTTATCACTGTTTGTCGAATGGAAAGCTGTTTACATGATATGTGAGAGGGGACCTTTGGAAATATCTGGAAAGTAATTTGGAAGAAATTGGTTCCAGGGACAGAGTTATGAGAGATTATGTTTAGGTAAATTGCAAGTATCTTAAAGGTATTAGGACATTTTATGCAAAGTTATGAATATCATAACATTACATTATCACAGTAATGAATGTATGTTTATTTGTATCACAATAATAAAGAAGAGTTATTAAATAGCCTACTAGCTAAAAAAGTTACTATGAGAATAGTAATATATATGTAAATATTCTAATAATATCTGCTTAGAAATTATCGATATAAGTTTTAACTCAACTATGAAAATTGAATACAGTAATGTTTATATATGCTAAACAATAGTTTGATATTAGAGCTAATCCTTCCAGATATTAGCAAGAATAAATCTTACATCAGATAGGCCAGCTGTATGTTCTAAGAAAAATATTGATTTTCTGTATCCTGTACATCTTATATCTCCTGAGTATCAGGTTGTATCCTGTATATTTAGAGGATATTCTAAGTGAGGATGTAGTAAATTTTACCTTCAAATTTGGTACAGTTAATTATATTCCTTATTAATATTTTAATTTAAGACTGAGGCTATGCTTGATTATAAAACTACAATCCTAACTATTGTTTGTTAATAAAATTAACTGACTACAATGAACAGAAAAATAACTTAATTGTATAACAACTACCCCCTCACAAACCTTAACATTACCATAACAAAAAAAATTAAAAAAATGTAAATACATAGTAGAAATCAATATCTAGTATACTATCCATCTGCTTTAATAATTGCTTCAATTCTATTTACTATTGAACCTGCTAGAGAATCAAAAATCTTTGGGTCAAGAAGTTCCCAACAAGCAGTATTAGCCTCCTTAATTGCTTTTTTGACCTCATTGTCAGAACCCTTCATGAGATATAGGTCAGGATAATACTATTGAAGCTTATCTTTCACTAAAGCCTAAATATGTTCAATTAGATTGAGATCTGGTGAATTGGCTAGAATTTCTATAAGAGTAATTTCCTGCTCTCTGATCCATTTCCAAAAAGACAAATCAGTCTTAGCATTGTCAATGATAAAGAAAACATCTTCCTCCTCAAGATGCTTCTTAATATCCTCCCATATCCCTACAAAGTCATACTGATCATAAATTTCAATAATTGACTTTCCAGTTACTCCACCCTCAGCAGAAGAAGAATCAGGAAAAATAGGTAAAAAGAGACTATGAGTTTGACCATAAAAAAAGTCAGATATTATCTGACTAATCTTCCTCTCCCGTGTTCTAGCAGTAGGTTTTACAAAATCCTTATTCCACTATTCTTTTAGGTACCTAATATCATGAATGTAGCTTAGTAATGAAAAGGTTTTCACATGACTCATAATTATGAGTCATAGGCTTTTGTACATATGACCATTTCGGTCATATGACTTGTTCATGTTATGATTTGTTATGTTTTACATATGACTCAACTGTGAGTTATAGGAGAAATATGCCTGGTGAGTGTACCATGAAAGTATGCTTTACAGGTATGCCTTGCACATATGATTTACATTTCACACATGACCTCATTATGAGGTCATGGGTTTTACGCATGTGACCACTTTATATCTTATGACTTGTTTATTGAGTTATGATTGGATTATGAGCTTTCGCATACGACCTTACTTACTTACGGAGTATACGCCGCGCGGGAACATTAAGCGATGAGG